TACACACAAGCCACTTAGATGACCATGTCTACAGGGGTTACGGAATAGGACAACGGGTTTTGTTGCAGAATCACTAATCAACTTTTCCTGTTCAGCATATGTTATCAGAATTTGACAACGGGTTTTGTTGTTATTCTTATTAATATAGATTAATTTCTTGCCCTTCTTATAGATTAAATTTTGCCCTTCGTTTTGAAATTTTAATCATGTGTTTGTCGAAAGATTCGTTTAGACTGTGGTATCTGTTTAACACGGGATGTATTTGTGTGCTTTTACGTACATTTACTGCTCTTTCTTGCTGTCTCAGCAAAACACACTTTTACGAAGACACATGATTTAAAACGCTAACTCACCCGAATTTAAATCTATTGACCCTTAATTGCATTTGAAGGCATGTTTATTAACGAGATCTGTTCTAAATAGCACAGTCGTAATTCTGGTTGATTCCACAAAATATCCGATTAAACGAGCAATCAATAATTGCAGTTGCCAGATTCGTACATGGTGTGTGTTATTTCAACGACCAATTATGCCCTGGCTTTGCTAAAGTCTGCAGTGTAGCAAAGAGGGAAATAGCGGTGTTACCTTCATAATACAGTATGTCACCATTATTAATACATACAAGAGTGTGGTTTCTCTAATTGGTTTTGTCTTTCAAACTATCACACTCCATCAAACACGGACATTTCACATTAGCAGCAAGAGGAAGAGATATGTCATCAACGCCTAATTCTATAATACCAAATCTATTTATACACACACAGTGTGTCAACATGACATGTGTCAAAACTGTTATGGATCCGTACAGACCGGCTTGCGCAGCATCAACTGCAGCGACAGTGTCGACGACTACAAGCTACAAGTATTGCACCTGTGTGTATAGATTCTTCAGTGTGCAATGGTTACAGAAGGCCGTTGTGTGTCGAGCCTTTGTACAGTTGGCTGGTTGGTTTGTTTAACACCGCTGACAGCAATATTCCAAATATATGGCGGCGGTCTGTAAATAAAAGAGTCTGGACCATACAATCCAGTGATCAACAGCTCGATCATCGTTCTACGCAATTGGGATACGATGACAACAAGTCAGCGAGCCTGACCACCCGATCCCGTTTGTCGCCTCTTACGACAAGCATGGGTTGCTGAAGATCAATTCTTCACGGGTGGCTTTGCACCAAGTAACCATGTGTAACGAATGAAGACGAATCTTAGTACAGATGCATTAGTCATCCTCGATAATCTCCAGGGTATACGTTACGATAACTCTCCACTATACCCTGGATGCATCTACGGCTTGGGGCGATGATTTTATTACCTCCCTTGGCTGGCTTTTTATCTAATCAGGTGCCTACGCTGGGAAGTTGAGCGAACCAATCACAACTCACTTTCGCTACTCAAATTATCTAACCGTTTAAACTTGGCAACACAATTGATGCAGAGGTACTCTGAAAGAAGTAGAAGGAGTTCTTTCATATAGTTTTTAAAGTTTCACATCTGTGAATTTGTCGTTATCATTTCCCAATAAATCTGTATGTCACTGCGAACAAACTTTCGCGGCTGCGACTGCTATCTTTGTTGACACTGGCAAGCTTGGATGTAACGGCGGCTTAGCTGATTGGCTACTGTGGGAATGCTGAGCCAGCCAAGGGAGGTAATAAAATCATCGCCCCAAAGCCGTGGATGCATCCAGGGTATAGTGGAGAGTTATAGTAGCGTATACTCTGGATATCATCGAGGATGATGCATTAGTATGTGTATGCAGCAACGAATGCATGTAGCAACGTCAAAACAGTAACCCGTGGTTGTAGTGAAAACAAAGGACAGGGCGGTTACAAATGTCAACCTGACATCGGGTTCTAACGACATTAGTCGGTGTTCATTCTGTCAACCACCGGTTTGCTAGTTCAGACACTTTTATATATACTAACGTACAATCAAAAGTACACATTTGGTGCTTTGGGACTATTTTCCAAAACAAACGTAAATATTTTGACTTGTCAGTTACAAACACTGCGTCCGTGTAGTCCAAATACTATAGGTATCCTATACAGTGTTGTGCGTGTAATATCATGAAAATCATGATTTTGTTCGCATGCGCAAGTTATGCACCAACAGTATAAAACACAGTTGATTGAGATTGTTAGTTGTATACCTGTTAAAGGCACACATCAAATTGTCTCTGTATTTTGACTTTGTTAAGGGTACATTTCAAATTGTCAAGATTGTCAGCAGCAGAGCAAGAACGAGCCATTGGATGGGGGCTTAGAACAGCTATATTGGCAACGTTCGGCTGCTGAACGCCGACCATCATCGGAATAATGTTACTCGATAACCAGACTGACCACACCTCTGCCAGCCCCAGACCTGGAAGACCGAGAGTAACCATCCCGCAAGGTGACCATCACCTGCGTATTCTCCAATTAATGTGCTTGCGCGTTGGTTTCACAATACTATATGTGTAACAAGAGCGCCACAAAGGCTTCCCTTTCACAATAATGTTATACGGCTTACTGCTTAATACTTCATTAACGTATACAGGAGCACAGTTCATTCGGCAGTAGCTGTAACTGCATCCCTTCATGTCAAAGCGAGCGGCGGGGTAGCCTAGTGGTTAAAGCGTTCGCTCGTCACGTCGAAGGCCCGAGTTCGATTCCCCACATGGGTACAATGTGTGAAACTCATTTCTGGTGTCCCCCGCCGTGATATTGCTGGCATACTTCTAAATACTAAACTCACTCATGTTAAGTAAGTGACAACTTGTTTTGCACGTAGTGTTTTGCGAAGGCAGCTGTTCAGATTGTAGTTCAGATTGGTACTGTCAAACAGTGGCGCACAGACTCCTGACAGCGACACATGAAGTCGCCTTGTAAAACTGATGGTAGTGTGTGCTGCAATCACACGTAAATAAATTAATTTTAAGCCCCGAAAACTCGGCATGAAAGGAATGAGTTTAGGGGGGTTATCTTTCATCTTTCACGTTTACTTCTCGGCCCATCGGCTGGTTCATTTTCAAAAGTCCCCCGTCTCTGAGTGTATATAAGGACGACACGAGGGTGATTCTGCACCTTCAAACCCTAAGGCCCATTCCGTAAAGCGCTTGTAGACATAAGGTCATCCTAACTCGCATACTTTAACATAGCCCTATGACTGCCGTAGCACCACGAATCGGTTTGTGGAAAGGGGACTTGACTTACGCGCTGAACAAGCGATGGCGGGCCACATCTCTCATCACCGAAATCTTGCCAGTTTCCAAAACTACTCCCGATTTAGACAGACATATATTACAAGGCCTGCTCCTTACTACTACTACTGCTGCAGCTGCTGCTGCCACTTGTGTGTGTGTGTGTGTGTGTGTGTGTGTTATGGGAGGGGTGGTAGGGTAGCCTAGTGGTTAAAGCGTCGAAAGTTCGATTTCCCACATAGGTACAATGTTTGAAGCCCATTTCTTGTGTCCCTCGTCGTGATATTGCTGGACTATTGCTAAAAGCGGCGTAAAACTAAACTCACTTATCGGACCCACCCTTTATGGTAGTTAACTTCGTGTTTTGATATAATTTAGTTATTCATTCATGCCCATTTACTGATTTCGCAATAAAGATTTGTGCGATCAAATTTCTAGGGTATCCTTTGCTTTTCAGTTTTGAAATCACCTCGTAACAGTTACCATCCATTTCTACGGAGACCATAAAATATACATTACATGTATATAGCCCCTGATGCTTATGGTCAGATTTCAGTTTGGTGCCTGTTGGTAGTAGAGTCCTCTACTACAAACACATGGGAAGGGTGAGCTACATGCCCTTGTGCTGCTTAAATATATATTTCAAGATAAGTCAATATCACGAACGTAAGAATTGCCCAATATCCTATATGCCTTACACTGTTTGAAGATATATAGAATAGTGCATTCTTGGCATTAGTAATACTTATTGATCTCAGAATATCTTAGCAACAACACAAGGGCAATACTAACACCTAGTCTCTAAAATATCATATTTTACAGAAATAACTGGTTCCTAAATTACAATCATAAAATATAATGAAAAGGTGCCCAGAGACTTTTTTCATTTTCAGAAACTGAAACTGTGGTAACCTGGACTTGCATGGGCTTTCTTGGATATATGGGGCGGTGGGGTAGCCTAGTGGTTAAAGCGTTGGCTCGTAAATCCAAACTCAGTCAGTCAGTCTTGGATATATTTGCTTCACGGTCTGTCTGACTAAACAAAGGCCTGTGATGAGGACCTGCTGAAAAAGACCTATGTTGAGACGACATGCTGAGATTTTATAACGCTTTGATAGATGTAGTGAATGAAGCATTCGTAACTGGTCCTTTGCCCTGCCAAAAGAGAACGCTTAATTCCACATGGCCTTTTCCTATACATTGAAAATAAACATTGAAATATGAGTCGATGACAAAGACCAGTGACCAGACATTACGTAGGCGGTTGATGGTATCAAACAAGACGTCGATGTGAAGATTGATGAAACATGTGACTCTACGACCCCCCATCCCCAACCCCAACAAACCCCACCCCCACCCCAACCCCAACCCCAACCCCATTAATCAACTGTCGTCATGCACCTAACCGGAGTCTGATACTGTGAGCAAAGATCCACTGGACGATGACAGAAATCTTCAAACATGAGCATGTCCATTAGATCCATCAAGAAGACTCTTACGACATGAATAGGTTGCTAGGAACCTGTTCTAACCCAGGATCTTCACGGAGACGAAAACTACTTACTCTGGGATACTGTAAACCGTAGTATCTCGGAATTGCCCCCTTGGAATAGCTGGAGTGTGGCGAAAACAACAAAGCAAGCATTTCGCGGAAGCACGTCTCAAAGCAACGTGACGAATAGTAGGCAAACTAATGTCCAGTGTGCGAAATGCGCATCATCATCATCGTCATCATCATCATTTAAATCGTCGTCATCATCATCATCATCATCATCATCATCACTAAGCAAGCTGACATTCACAACCAGCGGGATACGCATACATGCACTGAATGACTTTATTTGTTCATTGAAGAAACATTACATTTCATCACATTACATAACCATTCAGTTATTGTTGAACTATAGTTCATAGTTCCTTTTGTTTGAAACATCCGTTACACGTCATGATTAATTTGAAATCCGTAAATCGTGAGCTGATTTCTACTGGATACTACCAGTACTGGGCTCCACCTGATTCACCCCTGGCACATTCGGCACATATTGCGAGCGTCCTTACATCTGTAAGGATCTGAAACATAATAATGACATTTTACATCATCCACACTTTACCATCTGTACCTCTTTGTTCCTGCAACGTGTTATGCCTTCTGTTAGGCTTGAAATATGAGGCAATGTAGCTCAGTAAGAGATGCAAGTAACAACCAGTTCAGGGTCCCGATCCACAAAGCCCTCGTAACGTTACACTGACTGACTGACTGAGTTTGGTTTTACGCCGCTTCTAGCAATATTCCAGCAACACTGACTGAGTTTAGTTTTACGCCGCTTTTAGCAATATTCCAGCAATATCACGGCGGGGGACACCAGAAATGGGCTTCACACAATGTACCCATGTGGGGATTCGAACCCGTGTCTTCGGCGTGACGAGCCAACGCTTTAACCACTAGGCTACCCCACCGCCCCCCGTAACGTTACAACTACATTATTACGTTTACATAGGCTAACGAATGTCGAAGCGCTACGAACGATTTATAGATCGGAATCCTGCTCTGGAATTGTGTCGGAACAAATTTTTATTTGAATTCCATGGGTATATTAGGGACATACTCAGTACGGGTCGATACAACATTGCTACAAGAAATAAACCTTATCCCTATATCCCTGAGTGTAATTCTGTTAAACTTTCTCGTTACAATTTGTGTCAATATCTGTCTCGAGTGCCTAGGGCTATAAATAGGCCTTTAAATATGGCTGCCGCGGCGGCCATATTGAAGTCCGATTCACCTCCCTTAAACAAATGACAGTGTGACATTCACACAGATCACTACTGCATAATATACAGACAGGGTGGAAATGTGAAATACAAACTCATACCACTTAGCACAGGCCTGAACTGTCCGTTTCCTTGACAATTCATGAGTTGGCAGCCATTGTGTCCCCCTCGGATGTTGGCGCCAACGTTGTAGCACATGTTGTTGTAAAGGCACTCTAAATAACAATAATATTTAATTCATTTGACAAAATTCAACAAGCAGTTATCATCAATATATCCTAAAAATGAAAAACTGTTTTTCGACAACGCAAAATTTAACTACCTCGCTCATTATTGTACCAATACGGGAATCGAACCTCTTCCCGCTTGTTACTAAGCAACGTTCATTCAAAACATGATTTGTAACAATTAGCTAGTAACACAGTCATTATACAAATGCATATCATTACGTAAGATTGAAAGGGCAAGTTGTACGTGTCAAGTACACGGATTTGCCATTTAAGGGCAAAACTGGGATTCGAACTCAGGATTATTTGATTCGGACAAACTTTGTGATTGTCTTTGGGGAGAATGGAGGTAGTCTATATAAACGGCAGCAGTTTACTGAAATAATGAACAACACGGATAAACAAAGTGTGGTTCAACTTACTTATATCAACAAATCGCATCTGCCCGGCAGTGCATCGAATCTTGCTACAGCGGTTTTGTGCCAGGAACACAGCACCACTGTTGTAGGCACGTCCTCCGTAATTGCATGGTGACTGCGGACGATTTCCTGTGGGCAACGGTGGTGAGTGAGTATGTTTTCACGCCGCTTTGGTAAATATTCCATCAATATTATGGTGGGAACATATTCAGATAATTAATAGCTGGACTTTTGATGAGGGAGGCGTTAATTTATATAGTGCCTAGTATCCATCTGACTAGTTGCTCACGGGACGCTGTAATCAGAATCTAATTATTATTATTACCCCCGATAACCCAAGCTGCCTGTTAGGCGCTAGAAGGTTATAATCACATGACTTTATCCCACCGGGTACCCATTTTCTGCTGGGTGGACAGGAGCAATTTTGAACAAACTCTTTTGCCTAAGGTGTGACCACATGTGTCAGGTGTGCTTCGTTGTGGGGCAGGACTGAAGTCCTAGAAACTCGCAGGAGTCAAACTGCCAAACACGGTCACCCAACCAAGGAATGTCCGAGCTCGATGTTGCTTAACTACAACTGATTCGTGACCTGAGCTCTATGAACAGGACCACACCCTACCAAACAAAAAAGCCAAGCAACGTCTTGTTGTAAGGGGCACCTGAATGGATCGGATGGCTAGGTAACTTGTTGATTGGATGTCATCGTTCCTCGATCGGGTGGATCGGTCATTATAATATTAATCAGTGATTTTTCTGGCTATTCACTCGTTTCCGTAATATAGTTTGATGGTTTGTTGTTTAACGCCGCACTCACCAATATTCCAGCTATATGGCGGCGGCCTGTAAATAATCAAGTCTGGACCAGACAATCCAGTAGTTAACAGCATGAACATCGATCTGGGTTACTGAAGGCCAATTCTAACCCGGATCTTCACGGTTAAGACGTCGTTAGAGACCAAGCAAAAACCGGAATCATGATTTATATGGACAACCTACTCCACTGGTTAGGATCGCTTGTCTTCTTCGCCCTGTCCAGTGCCGGCTTGGTCGAGGACGCAGCTACCACAAGCAACAGCAGGCACGACAGAGTTACTGGTAACGTGGACATCGTCTCTTTGATCTGAATGGAATAAAAGCGACTAATTTAGACTGAGAGATACCCGAGATCTTTACCATCGTCATATACTCTCCCAAAAAAGGAAACTCATAGGTATTTTCACGAATTTAATCTGCTACCTTTAAAGTGAGATAACACATGTATAGTGGATCAGTGCAAGCCAAATTTCACAGTATAAAATCTTACAAGTATAGCTATAAAAAAGTTCAATAAGAGAAGGCGTTTGTTCCGTGTGGGGCCTTTTCTTCAATGTCTATTGTAGCCACCATGAGCCCCCAAAACAGCTCTGCATAAGTCTTTGAATTCGACCGGTTGACGTTCATGTACGCGTCGGCCGAGGTCATCCCACAAATGCTCGATGGGCTTGAGGTCGGGTGATTTGGAAGGCCATGGAAGCACTGTAATGTCTGAAGATACTGAATAGTGGCATGTGCTGTGTGGGGTCTGGCATTATCTTACCGAATCATACACGTTGTAGATTCCAGAATCGAATGTTACGCACCAATCGACCCGTCGATGTAGTCGTCGTAGCACAGGGCCAAAATACGTCTTCTGACTCGAAGTCCAGCGTCTCGTAAACGACTACGAATGGTTTGCGCCGACACTCTCCTCAAACTAGGCACTGCACTTGCAGTTGCAGTTGCTGTGACAGTTCGACTCCGCAGTTGAAGTATCCGGATGTACCTATCCTGCGCTGTAACCCGAGGTATACCACTGCGAGGCTGACCTTGCGTAGAATTGGTTTGTTGATATGACCTCATAAACGACTGATGGTACTTTAGTGAACATTGAGGTGACGTCCATGGGTAGACTGAGACACTCCAGGAACCAGACGCCCAATGATAATGTTTCGATTTACAGGAGTCGCGGCATGATATTCTTTCATTTAGCTAAAAAACTGACAATGACCATCTAAAAACAAAACGGCGTTATTTAGGCAATGTCCCTGCTCACGACTCCTCAGAACTGTGCGAACCACCTTTCTCCATGACATGTTCATACAAGTTGACACTTTCGAACGTAAACGTGTATTAAAGCTTCCGTGTTTGCGCTGTGCATTCGTTTCATGTACAGAAACCATTATAATGACGAAATTATAACACTCAAACACAAGACAGTTCATACATTAATATCACCTATGCGTTTCTATACTACATAGGTTTCAATATACAGTGGCGTCATTATCTTAGCCACAATTAACACTTCATCCATCCCACTACAGTGAGTGAGTGAGTTTGGTTTTACGCCGCTTTTAGCAATATTCCAGCAATATCACGGCGGGGGACACCAGAAATGGGCTCCACACATTGTACCCATGTAGGGAATTATTGAACCACTAGGTTACCACACCATGGACAGACGAACACTAAGTGAATTTCATTTTCGATTTCTATATCGCATAATTGATCGATTCGTTTCGATTTTGCAATGGAAAGTTTTCTTCTTTTATTTACAAAAAGGTCTAACAAACTTAGGCGATATTTAATCAAATGTTTCCTTAAATTTTCCGTCGTGAGTATTGATTAATATATTTCCGGCTGAAGTAAGGTCTTGAAAGTTCTATAATAAGCATATCGTGAACTATCTTCTAAAGTGTAATGCCATTCCTGGTAAAACATAATAGCAGACCGAGTTCTAAATTCTTTAAAAAGAATTGCTGACGAATTTCCCTTATATTTTTAGATGTAAGACATTTGCTGTCGAACGAGACCTTTATAGACCTTTTCCCATAAATTCAATACGTTTCCAAATTTGTATACTTTTCAATCATTATTTACGTCTAAACAATTGTCAATCTTATCAAGGCTTTTCAGATTTATAATCATCATCAACTCAACATTCAAGAATCGAATATAACCCAAATTAACCTTCATCTTGTTTTTGTATGCATAAATTGTATGTATTGTCTTCTCTTGTACCACCGATGGTGGTTGAATGAGAATAAAGGAATTGAATAGAATTGAATTGTCACTGCACATGACTATCACATTAAACTTTAAAGTTTCCTTCAATGGCGTGTCGCGTGAAGTCTGATAAAAATGCTGTGTAAAGCTGCAAATGTTGGAAAACGGTTGCTATTGTACATTACATCATTCACGGTCAGGTGAGGAAAATCGTTCAGTCAAAAATATTGCACCTATATTGAATATTTCATGAAAATAAATTACCATTCTCATTATCTCCTGTGCGTTGATTTTGTTGTTCTTGGTTGATTTATTTATTTATTTATTTATTTGTTTGGGTTTTTTGGGGGGTTGTTGTTTGTTGTTTTTTTATATGTTGTTTTTGACAATATCTCACAGCATTTTCACTGCAATTTCGTTTACCTCACAATATATCACAGCACTTTCATTGTAATATTCGTTTACCTCACAATATCTCACAGCACTTTCATTGTAATTTCGTTATACCTCACAATATCTCACAGCACTTTCACTGTAATTTCGTTTACCTCACAATATCTCACAGCATTTTCACTGTAATTTCGTTTACCTCACAATATCTCACAGCATTTTCACTGTAATTTCGTTTACCTCACAATATATCACACCACTTTCATTATAATATTCGTTTACCTCACAATATCTCACAAAAATTTCATTGTTATTTCGTTTACCTCACAATATCTCACAGCACTTTCATTGTAATTTCGTTTACCTCACAATATCTCGAAGCACTTTCACTGTACTTTCGTTTACCTCACAATATCTCACAGCACTTTCTTTGTAATTTCGTTTACCTCACAATATCTCACAGCACTTTCTTTGTAATTTCGTTCACCTCACAATATCTCCCAACACTTTCACTGTACTTTCGTTTACCTCACAATATCTCACAGCACTTTCATTGTAATTTCGTTCACCTCACAATATCTCACAGCACTGTCATTGTAATTTCGTTTACCTCACAATATCTCCCAGCACTTTCACTGTACTTTCGTTTACCTCACGATATCTCACAGCACTTTCATTGTAATTTCGTTTACCTCACAATATCTCACAGCACTTTCTTTGTAATTTCGTTTACCTCACAATATCTCACAGCACTTTCACTGTACTTTCGTTTACCTCACAATATCTCACAGCACTTTCTTTGTAATTTCGTTTACCTCACAATATCTCACAGCACTTTCTTTGTAATTTCGTTTACCTCACAATATCTCACAGCATTTTCACTGTAATTTCGTTTACCTCACAATATCTCACAGCACTTTCATTGTAATTTCGTTTACCTCACAATATCTCACAGCACTTTCTTTGTAATTTCGTTTACCTCACAATATCTCACAGCACTTTCACTGTAATTTCGTTTACCTCACAGTATCTCACAGCCCTTGCACTGTAATTTCGTTCACCTCACAATATCTCACAGCACTTTCACTGTCATTTCGTATACCTCACAATATCTCACAGCACTTTCATTGTAATTTCGTTTACCTCACAATATCTCACAGCACTGTCATTGTAATTTCGTTTACCTCACAGTATCTCACAGCATTTTCACTGTAATTGTGTTTACCTCACAATATCTCACAGCATTGTCACTGTAATTTCGTTTACCTCACAATATCTCACAGCACTTTCACTGTAATTTCGTTTACCTCACAGTATCTCACAGCCCTGTCATTGTAATTTTGTTTACCTCACAATATCTCACAGCACTTTCTTTGTAATTTCGTTTACCTTACAATATCTCACAGCACTTTCTTTGTAATTTCCTTTACCTCACAATATCTCACAGCACTTTTACTGTAATTTCCTTTACCTCACAATATATCACAGCATTTTCATTGTAATTTCCTTTACCTCACAGTATCTCACAGCACTTTCATTGTAATTTCGTTTACTTTACAATATCTAACAGCACTTTCATTGTAATTTACTTTACTTTACAATATCTCACAGCACTTTCACTGTAATTTCGTTTACCTCACAGTATCTCACAGCACTTTCACTGTACTTTCGTTTACCTCACAATATATCACAGCATTTTCACTGTAATTTCGTTTATCTCACAATATCTCCCAGCACTTTCACTGTACTTTCGTTTACCTCACAATATATCACAGCACTTTCAATGTTATTTTGTTTACCTCACAATAACTCACAGCATTTTCACTGTAATTTCGTTTACCTCGCAATATCTCACAGCACTTTCATTGTAATTTCGTTTACCTCACATCATCTCACAGCACTTTCATTGTAATTTCGTTTACTTTACAATATCTCACAGCCCTTTCATTGTAGTTTTGTTTACCTCACAGCCCTGTCATTGTAATTTCGTTTACTTTACAATATCTCACAGCCCTGTCATTGTAATTGTGTTTACTTTACAATATCTCACAGCCTGTCATTGTAATTTCGTTTACCTCACAATATCTCACAGCAGTTTCATTCTAATTTCGTTTACCTCACAATATCTCACAGCATTTTCATTCTAATTTCGTTTACCTCACAATATCTCACAGCATTTTCACTGTAATTTCGTTTACCTCACAATATCTCACTTTCGTAGTAATTTCGTTTACCTTTGGATCCATGCTTATGCATTACACTAAATGTATTGACTACATGCCTGTGTTGTTTGGTATTCGCCCCATTGATCACCCGATTGTTTGGTCAAAAATGGAATAAAAACTAAAAATAATATTAATATATGTGACACACGAAAATAAAGAAGCAAAACCGATTGTGAACATAGGATACAGATAATACGTAAATCCTGAGAATGAAAAGTCCCTATACTTAATGGAATGCTTATGGACATTCGGCTCACACAACCTACCTCGTGACGGCAGACGCTGGAGTTCGTCGGTAAATGTTGAGGATGTTGCAAGGTTCTGACTTTTTACATCCGTCGCGAGATGACAATTACTGGTACCTCGTGGTAGCGTGGCACTCTGACATATTGTTTCGTAATTTTCACATCTGGTAATAGAGCGGAAGGATGTACTTAACTGCATTTGATGATGCAGTACACAAGTACAATTACATTTTACATGAATATCTTGATTAAATTTCATTCAAATAATGTCATGTTCGATGGGAGTAAAGTGCTTATAGGAAATGAGAGAATGAGTGAGTGAGCGACTGAATCTTGCCAAGAACCGTTTTAATAGTATGTAAATTATTTCTGTTATACCTAGGCGTGTGACGAGGAGTGAGTGAGCGAGTCAGTATGGTTTTATGCCGCTTTTAGCAATATTCCAGCAATATCAAGGCGGGGGACACCAGAAATGTGTACCCATGTGGGGAATCGAATCCGGGTCAGCGGCGTGACCAGCGGACGCTTTAACCATTAGATTACCCCAACCCCCGTATGTCACGAGGAAGATAGGTCATATATTTGACATTTATCACTTAAGATAAAATCTACGTGCACGAATATGGCACAAACTTAGAAACACAAATGGTGTGAACTTTGGAAATGAAACCAACAGTGGTATAAAGATTTACGGCATAGAGTACGGCATGAAGCGTACGGAATAGTGTGATATTTACTTCACAGAGTGTAGCGTACGGCACAGAGTGTAGCGTACGGCACAGAGTGATATTTACATCACAGAGTGAAGCGTGCGACACAGAGAGATATTTACTTCACCGAGTGAAGAATACGGTATAAAGTGATGTTAACATCACAGAGTGAAGCGTACGGCACAGAGTGATATTTGCATCACGGAGAGAAGTATCGGCACAGAGTGTTATTTACTTCACAGAGTGAAGCATACGGTATAAAGTGATGTTTACATCACAGAGTGAAGCATACGGAATAAAGTGATTTTTACTTCACAGAGAGAAGCGTGCGGCATAAAGTGATATTTACTTCACAGAGAGAAGCGTACGGCACAGAGTGATATTGACATCACAGAGTGAAGCATACGGTATAAAGTGATATTTACTTCACAGAGTGAAGCACACCGCATAAATTGATGCTTACATCACAGAGTGAAGCGTACGGAACAGAGTGATATTTACATCACAGAGAGAAGCATACGGCACAGAGTGATATTTACTTCACAGAGTGAAGCATACGGTATAAAGTGATGTTTACATCACAGAGTGAAGCATACGGTATAAAGTGATATTTACTTCACAGAGTGAAGCGTACGGCATAAAGTGATATTTACTTCACAGAGAGTGACGTACGGCACAGAGTGATATTTACATCACAGAGTGAAGCGTACGGCACAGAGTGATATTTGCATCACGGATAGAAGCATCGGCACAGAGTGTTATTTACTTCACAGAGTGAAGCATACGGTATAAAGTGATGTTTACATCACAGAGTGAAGCATACGGTATAAAGTGATATTTACTTCACAGAGAGAAGCGTACGGCACAGAGTGATATTTACATCACAGAGTGAAGCATGCGGTATAAAGTGATATTTACTTCACAGAGAAAAGCGTACAGCATAAAGGAATTTTGCTCCAACCTTTCAATTTCTGCATTATCAACAATAAGAGGATATAGAGGTTCCTTCTCTTAACATCAACCACCATTTCCTTAGTTTTCTTTACATTCAGAAAAGGAAAATTGTCTTTACACCAAGATAGAGATTTTCCAATCCCTTGACGATAATTATGCTCAGAATCAGAAATTAGGCCAGTAACAGCGGCGTCATCTGCCAATTTCACAGTAACCACGTCATTTAATGCCAAGTAACAGTCATTGGTATACAAATTGAAGAGTAAGGGTGAAAGAACACAGCCTTGTGGAGCTCCAGTAGAGGTTGAGAGAAAAGAAGATTGATAGCCATTGACACTGAGATACTGAGTTCTATGTACCATGAACAAGATTCTGTCAGATTATCCATTCACGCCTCAGGCTCGGTTGCAGCGATTTAAACGCACATAAATATCAACGATTTATATCTTCAAATCCCTCTTGTTCTTGTGGCTACTGTTACGAAGATCCAATTCACTATTTCTTTTCGTGCGTTAATTACACTGACATAAGACATAAAATGCACTTCTATACTAAAGGATATGACATCAAATCAATACTATACGGACACTCTCATGGATCTACTAAAGGTAATCTTGAATTATTAGAATCTATCCATTCTTTCATTGTTCTGTCAGGCAGATTTGTGTTGTAATATAAAAACGAAATTGCACTTACTATTAAGTATTTTCCGACACTAATGGTTCTAACGTTAAAAGAGGCTATGTTACAGTTTATGATTGTTACATTTCCAGAAAGCTATTGTTTATCGTTTGTTAATATCATGTTTTTCTCCGTACGATTTTTATATCTATAATATATCTGTATTCCGGAGCGGTATTCATATAAGCACCATACTGCTTGTTTACCAATCCGGTTCCTCTTTTGGAAATAAATATGTTTAAACCATGTACCATGAACTCTTTAGCCCATTTGATAATGTTGCTATTAACGCCTAGATTAAACAGTTTAAACATCAAAAGGTGTGGTTGGATGGTGTTGAAGGCAGAAGAAAAATCAATAAAGAGGATTCTTACATAGTTGTTACAAGTCTCCAGATGAGAGTAAATATTTTGCAGGAGGGTTAATGCGTCCTCCGTCCCACGCCCTGATCTATATGCAAATTGTAAAGGATCTAGCAAATGACTTACATTATCAAGTAACATTTTTTCATGTCAAAGTAACTGGACGATAGTCATTATTTACGGCGGGATTATTCATTTTCGGAATAGGAATGATAGTGGAAGTTTTCCAGAGAGTGGGGATTACAGCTGAACTAATAGACCATTGAAACATCTTCTGAAATAAGACACATAGTTGCTCTCCACATTCTTTCAAAACAATACCAGGTGAGTTATCAGGGCCGCAAGATTTGCCTACTTTGAATAGTTTTAATGACAACAGAACATCACTTCTTGATATTACTAAGTCATTAGATGAGGGTAAAGATGAATACATGTTATCAATGTCATTGGAAAAATCATGATTGTCAAATCTGGCATAAAACGAATTCAATTCATTAGCAAAAACAAGATTATCTTGAACATCAATACACTGCTGTTTTTGTTAATCCCAATTGCAGACTTAAGTCCTTGCCAAGCATGTTTGTGGTAAACATTTTTTCAATTTTACATTTATATGCATCTTTACATTTTGCTGTTTCACATAAAATATCCCTAGTTTGTATTTCTTTAACTTTGTGAATATTACCTGAACAAAATGCTCGTTTCTTTTCATTCAATAAAGATTTAAACTCCTTTGTGACCCACGGTTTATTATTAGGGTAAATTTTGATTGTCCTAAGAGGAATAATATAATCAACACAAAACTTAATGTAGTCTGTGACTGCGTCGGTTAGCATGTCCAGAGTATTACATGCTTCATCAAAAATATCCCAATAAGTACACTCAAAACACCCTTTCAGCTGATCCAGCGACTCAGTGGTCAATGATTTAACCTGATTGATAACAGGTTTTTCCGACTTCAGCTTCTGTTTGTAGGTTGGCACAAGATGAATAGCGTTATGATCTGATTTTCCGATAGGCGGTTTTACGTAGGATTTGTAAGCGTCACGAATATTGCCGTAACGAAGATCCAATGTCTTGTCTCGCCTGGATGGACACGTCACATATTGAAAATAGTGTGGAAGTACATCTTTTAAAGAACATTTATTAAAATCGCCCATAATGAAATTGGGAGCATCCGGTGACAGAGCTTGCAATTGTTCTGTAATTGTCCGAATTGAATCAGCGGCTTTGCTTGAGTTTGCATTTGGTGGAACATATACAAGAGTTACAAATACCTGTCCAAATTCTCTTGGTAGGTAAAATGGTCTGAATGAAACTGATAATATTTCCACGTCCTTTGTGCACAAACTTTCACGCAAGACATAGTTTTTACACCAGTTTTGGTTCCTGTACATACACAGTCCCCACCCGTTACCTTCTCCGTTATCTGAAGATCTCTGTCCATGCCAATCGGTTGTCCAAATCCAGATAGAGTTATTGATCCCGAATTCACACTTTCGCTCAGCCATGTTTCGGTGAAGCACAATAAACAACTTCCCCGGTATTCGTACATGAATTTTGCGGACGCTTCCAATTTCGTTAGTTGTTTTCGTAACGACCGCGCATTTGAGAGCATCAAGGTCGGTAGCGGCGGTCTGTTCTTCCTTGCCCGTATTCTCCGTCTCAAACCTCCTCTTTTGCCTCTCTTGCGTTTCTTGACAGCAACATCTTCTTTCACACACTCCTCAGGAACATCTATTGGAGATTTTCCCGTCCAAGAAGAGTCACGGAACTCCAAAAGTTGGAGAAGATCATAACGGATGACCGTCGTGACGTCACCATGGCTACCAGAGTAAACAAAGCCAAACTGTCCGGCGATGATGAGTAGGGCTATCAAGCCGTAGAAACACTGAAAAACCGCAATCGGTTCATCACGCTCTTCAAATATTGAAGAAATCACCTTTGTTCAAAACCTGAACAACTTTGACGACAGAGGAAAACATAAAACTAGCAAAATTGTATAATAACGAGAGAGCCGTTTCGATACGTGTCGCCACGGCGCAGCGCCACCTACCAATCACAGAGTGAACCATACGGCATAAAGTGATGTTTACATCACAGAGAGAAGCGTACGGCACAGAGTGATATTTACATCACAGAGTGAAGCATACGGCACAGAGTGATATTTACTTCACAGAGTGAAGCATACGGTATAAAGTGATATTTACATCACAGAGTGAAGCATACGGTATAAAGTGATATTTACTTCACAGAGAGAAGCGTACGGCACAGAGTGATATTTACTTCACAGAGTGAAGCATACGGTATAAAGTGATATTTACTTCACAGAGTGAAGCATACGGTATAAAGTGATATTTACTTCACAGAGAGAAGCGTACGGCATAAAGTGATATTTACTTCACAGAGAGTAGCGTACGGCATAAAGTGATATTTATATCACAGAGTGAAGCATACGGCACAGAGTGATATTTACATCACAAAGTGAAGCATACGGCATAAAGTGATGTTTACACCACAAAGTGAATCGTACGGTACAGACAGATTTTACATCACACAGTGAAGCGTAAATTGCAATTTATTCATTGAACAAAACTTTACATTTTATTGCATTACACAGCAAGTCAGCTCAATCCGTTACGTGTCCTGAATACTTTTGAAATCCAGCTTCAACAGGATACTAAGAGTCCAGAGGGAGACTCCACTTGATGCCAGCGTCCCTACACCTGCTACGATCTGAAACACAATGACGACATTTGACAACGTCCACGCTTAACCCACATCTGTAATTATATAAAACTCTGTTGGTGCAACGTGTTATGGATTCTGTTGTGCTTGAAATGGAATGGAGTGCTGCTCTGTACGAGGTGCATGTAACAACCAGTTCTGGTCTAGAATCATGTCGGTTCAAATTTTGATTTGCATTCCATACGTGGCAGACATATTGAAATCCGATTCACACCTCAAGCATGGGTTGCTGAAGACCATTTCTAATCCGCGACTTCGCATGTGTTAAATTTGTAAACTCATACCACTTTGAACAGGCCTTAACTCTCCGTTTCTTTGACACTTCAAGAGTTGGCAGCCATTTTGTCCCGCTCTGATGTTGTCGCCGGCGTTGTAGCATGTGTTGTTGTGAAAGCACTCTGAATCACAAAAAGACAAGTTTCAACTTAATTCTGGAAACTCAAAAGTCCAGAAACTCTCAGCACTGTGGGCAGTTTCTGACAAAGGATATGACAAAATTCACCATGTAGTTATCAGCAAAGTATCCTGTGGATGGTAAAATAAAAAACATTGTTTTCGAAAACTCAAATTTTAGAAAATTTCTACATTTGCTCAAAACTAATTTCTTGGAGGTTGAAAAGGAATGAAAGAATGTTTAAACCTAATTCGGCTAATTTAAAGCATAATTATAATATCTCGCCCATATATTTATTCATAAAGTCATATCCTCCAACAATCTTTGTTTCTTTGTTGACAACGATCTTTTTTGTAACCAAATAACAGAAACAGAAATAGACATACGCATTTGGGTTCTGGGTTGATTTTTCTTTTAGTATGTTTCATTTGTTTGTTTTGGTTTTGTTCAGTCAACAGAGTGAATCGTGATTGTTAATGACTAACAAAATTACACCGGGCAAATTTAACACTTTTTGCTTGCTGTAAATAATTACCTTTGCAGAAACAAACGACGAGGATTTAATCATAAACACCGACCAAGTCACTGAACCTGAGATCATCTCTTTCAACCAGCAACAGTCATTATATGACTGAGACAATACCGACGTTGAAAGCTAAAGCACGGTGCCATCCCAGCCAGATTGATAGTCTTCTTCCTTGGTCTCAATGCCCACATTTGGTGTGGCCACACGTGCATTTTGTATAAGGAACGTGCATTCAGAAAATGATTTGTAACAATTAGCTGGTAACATTATACAAAACACATTTGCCATCATGTAAGTTTGCAAGAGCATGCTGTACGTGTCAAGTATATGGAGTTACCATAATAGAGCAAAACTGGGATTCGAACCAAGATTATTGGACTCAGACAAGCTTTGCCTTAGGGGAGAATGGGGTTAGTCTGGCAGCGATTTACTGAAATAATGAGCTACATAGCTTAGAAACTGTGGTTCCACTTACTTATATCAACAAAATATATCCGCCCGTAAATGCACTGAAGCCTGCTACATCGGTTTTCGGCCAGAAACACAGCACCGTGGAAGTGGACACGACCTCCCAAAAAACATGGTAATTCTGTGGACAACGATGGTGAGTGTGTATCATTTTATGCCGCTTTGAGAAATTCACCATCCATATCATGGAAGGAACATATTCAGATAATTGTACTTATATGCAGAATCGAACGAAGGTCAACGAACGTATATATGGTGATTTCTTCCCCACCCATTGTTAGCTGTGAGGTGAGGTTAAACATGATTTTAATACTATAGTTTGTTTGTTTGTTTTATTTTATTTTGTTTGTTTGACGCCGCACTCAGCAATAGTCGGCGGTCTGTAAATAATCAAGTCAGACAGACAACAGAATAAACATGGATCTACCATAAGTCAATCAAGTTAAGAAGCATGTGTTGCTGAAGGCCAATTCTACATTACAGTTAAGACATCCATAGGGACCAAGTAAAACCGGAATCTGGATATGTATGGACAACCTACTCCACTGGTTAGGATCGCTTGTCTTCTTCGCCCTGTCCAGTGCCGGCTTGGCCGAGGACGCAGCTGCAAGCAGCAGCAGGCACGACAGAGTTATTGGTAACGTGGACATCGTCTCCTTGATCTGAATGAAATAAAAGCGAATAATTTAGACTGAGGTCTTTACAGACAGTTTTATTCCGTAAAAGGCCAACGGCCCATAATACAGTCAAATGCATGATAACACATTAATGGTATGCATGAATTTATAATAAATTCTGCTCTTAATTCTAATTTGTACACAATATAAAAATAAACTAACATTCTTAATCATACCTACATTGGTAGATTGCATAATGTTTTATAAAGTTGTTTATCTTAGGAGGTTGACTAAAATATTTCATCAAAAGCATTCACAAATATACAAATATGCCACTCATCTTCAACAACATTAATAGCTTTTGATTTACAAAATAAACAAAATCTTTCATTTGAAGCAATATTTGTATATCTCCCAGTCTCTGTTGCTAAATTAAAAGTTCCTGATCTGAATTTGAAAGGGTAGATCTCAAATTTAAACAAATATTACAATCTAAATATTTTTCTACATCTAATAGGTTTTTATACTGAAAATAATAAATAGTTTTGTGTGGATTTTTAATGGAAGTATACCAGGATTGCTTTAAGTTATTGGTCAGTCTTTGTTTACAGAAACATAAAATGCTTAACATTACCAATATCGTGACTGACCCATGAATAGCCAAAACCATAAGTAAATATATTAGTTTAAACATTAGTTGCCCACGTTATACGTCCAACATCATATAATCATTTCAGAATTTCGTGACAGTGTTTTGGGAGTCTATTTGGGGGTAAGTACAATAAATGACACCAATATTTGATAACCTTAGTCATATATACAATTTGTAAAGGGAGTCTACCACATTCTCAAAGTACCATATTATTACAAGTAGATTTACCAACTTTTAACAAATACTTACAAAATTTAATTTATAGAGACTCTATGAGTTTACAATAACTGGTGCCCCAAACTTCAGCTCCCTAACATAATATAGGTGAGACTATACATTCAAATATCTTAAATAAACCTTTACAATTGACAGTACCCATTTTCTTAGAAAGTTATTTACAGAAAATATTGCCCTATTGGCCTGAGAAACAAGACCCTGAGATCTTTACCTTCATCGCTGAAATAGATTCATTGGTTTGAGGGATATATCTAGATATTGATGTAGCGAATTCGAAGAAGGGCCTCCAATAGCCCAAACCAATAACATGTAAAACAGTGACGTCATTATCTTAGCCCAAATTAACAATTCATGATCCCACTATAGACCATTCTTAGCCAATATGCATGACCTCGAGGTCAAATCGAAAGCGAGGCTTAAATAGGTTGACCCAACCTTGAAAATGGCGACCTCGAAAAGGAAAGATTACTGCTGTGTGCCTTTGCGTTGGAGTGATGCCCGTAAGGATTTTACGGTATCTTTTCACCATATTTCCAAGAATAAGATCAGAAGAAGGCAGTGGTTGTCGAAAATACGGAGAGATGAAAATGGAAAATGATTCATAGTAAGTACAAAATAATTACGGCACATGGCATAGTCTAGATCTGCCGTGTAATGTACAAACTGTTCACTATGCAAGGTTTTAATATCAGGGGCACATGTACAATGTGAATGTCACACACACACAGACACATTCAAACCCCCACCCCCACCACCACCACCCCACCCCCACACATTGTCATGTTCAAAATCAGTGATCACCCCTAGTTCATACGTACACAATTGACCCCTCCTCCTGCCTCCCAAAACAAACTGGGAGACACCCCAACCCCCGCAAACACCGCACCTAAAATCATCATCACCCCCCTAGTCATAAATTATGAACGGTCCAATATATTAAAAAAAATTAAGCATATGGACATGTGCAGACACTCTTGTCATGATGGCATGGGAATTTTATTTGCAATTATTCTGTATCCGTGAAATTAGATTGGCTGCAAATCAAAGTAACATTTCAAGTACGTATACATGTATATATGCAGGACATACACATGCTGTTAAAAAAATCTTAAATATGTATCTACTTTCAAAATTACTGCATACTGACCAGTACTTCAGGGATACAGGACATATTACTGGACAATCTAATTACACCAACTGAAATATATTTAGTGTTTAAATATCCATTTCAGATGCTGCTTATTAAGAGTCAGAGAGCATGTCACCAGCTCAGGTACCTCCCATAAGGAATCTACCACAGTCACCATCTCAGATACAGTAAGAATGTCAGATCGTATTAAGTTAATATTGCCAACTGACATGGTTTTAAAGAATTGAATACAACTGAACTTTGACCTATATGCTATGTTATTTACATATAAAAATATTGATTGCCTATACTGTCTACAATATGAAATGATGTTAGCCTCTACTCCTTGATGTATATTTGTAATAGACCGATCCAGTCTCGGCCGATAAGCCCCGCCCACTTCGTTTTTGACGTTAGGGGGGGGACAACCACTGGCAAATCACAATGGCGTCACCGCCGGCGAAACGTTACGTGATTGCGAACGTTGTTGATGAATTCTGCATGTGATACTTTGGTGTCCGTCGTTTGTGAATGTTATTTAAAGAGGCAAGTTATACGTATGTGATTTTTAATATATTTTAGCTGGCAGATTACAACTGGCGAGTGAAAATGAGTTACATGCCCGATGAAAAAGCGTCTCGACTAGCTGCTGAGACTGTAGGAAGCGTAATTTCTTTCGAATCAATTAATCTATCTGGCAATTCACCTCCGTCACAGATATTAGCAGGGAAAGGATAACTGAATTTTGTTGTTTGGGTTTATAATTTTTTAAAACTCGTGAACACAACCACATGGTCATGTTGCACATCGTTTCGGTATCTATAAATAGATTATCAACACTGCGCGTGGCGCCTTTACTTATCCGTTTGCGTTGTTCAAATTTAGTTCAATAGAATCTAATCTGAAAACATGGGTTTCTATCTTTTAATGAATTAAGAGAATGGTAAATAAAGAGCAGAAAATATTTCCCGTCTACTACTTCATGCACCTTATTTGTCTGTACAATTAATGTAAACAAATCAATCACAGCATAACCTATTTGATCTTATTTGGAAATCTGGAAAAGGTATTTGGGCTTGTAAACAATATGTTTCCATGGACGTATCTGGACATACCCAGAAGCAAATATTCAACAGCTGATCTGCAGCAACTCTCAGTAAAGTTTCTCCCTTCAAAATCTGTACACCATGATAAAATGACACTGAATATAAGGAAATCATTTTTTTAATCACCATTTCCATTTAATTTTTCTATATGTACTTTCTTGCGGAATCCTAATTTACATACAAACTTCCACAATACTGGACTTCATGAACTGCCAGCGTTTATGTACAGGTATGTCACAGCACCAGAACACAAAGAAGATCCAAGATACAGTCTGTACCTGTACACTAGCTGACCCATCTTCCAGAAATGGGAAACATGTGATGCAAAATTTTGGAACAGAGAATCCACAGTTATTCGAACAATTAACTAGCATTGAAATAGAATGTTACACAAAGTACAAATGTAGATCTATTGTTTTTTCATTAGAGATGTTTAACTGCTAACTACTAGTGTAAATAAGGTGCAAAGAATATATCCTATGTTCAAAGCCTTCTGTAAATACAATTATTGCTTCTTAATTAAACAATGATAATCTTTTGTTTTATTAGATCTGAGACCATATCCCTAGAGGACATAACACTGATTTTGATCTATTTCCTTTCTGAGATACTTACTGGTGTCATAAAAATTATAGTAAAGTTGATTCAAAATTTGGTAAAAGTCATAACAAAGGTTTAGGAAAACAGACATAAAAATGTCCTGAAGCGTTCACCTCCTACAAACCAGTGTGCAATTTAATATGAAGCTCATTTTGCAAATAACCATCAACAAACCTTGAACAATTTGTCCAAATCCACCATCTTAATAAACACTAGCTTTGGCTCAGTATTCAAATAGTAGTAACCTCCTAAAAACTTATGATTTATCAGAAGAATTATATCAAATATGGATTAAAATATATGTTTCAATCTTTATTCCGTTACATGAAAAGTCACCTGAGATTTTTGTAAGTTATTCTGTTCCAGAACTAGATATAAATGCCTGACCAGGGTTTGACCAAAACGTAGCCTTTGCTTTTTCAAATTTTCTGGATGTTGAAATAACTTTAATGAGTTATGATACTAGCAATCACTTTCAGAATTATCTTATTAGTAAATGTAGTATTTAAAACAAAAAATCTAAAAGCAGGAGCCAAGAAACTAAGTTAATACCAAGTGATTGTCCTGCCTTGATATGTATGGTGTTTGTTTGCCTAGTTCTGCCTTAAAATCTAAAAAATCTGATATGTCAATCAATTAAATAATTATTTATTATTGATTAGATTATTATTAATTTTATTACCCTTCCACGTTTACTATAAAAAGCAAGATTCTGAAAACATACCTTGATATCATTTCCAGTGAATTAATCAAAATTACAGTTGTAATATTACTCCTAAAATGTACCATTATATGTGAATAATTTATGTGGTAACAAAACTTCAAATAATGTTCTCATAATTAAGATATACACTTTATTTCACTCCATCCAATACTCCAGAAAGTCGATCACTATTCTTCTCACATAGTTTTCGTATTCGATCAACATGGAGGAAGGTAATTCAATTCAAAGTCCCATGCAACTCTTTATAAAAAGCTGAAATATTTAAAGCATGGTTTTATAGGCACTCATATGAATTAAGTTTGATACTTGGATATTGCATGATAGGCAACTGCTGACACTTACAATATTTCCGTTTGAATAAAAAATATTACTCCTCGAATATTTGGGCTCTGTTAACAAGATACTGTAGGCCTTCAAATTGTGCTTATAAAACTTAAAACATCCCAAAATGTGTGACAAATTGAAGAATATCTAAGAGCGAAGGGGACAATATCCGCCACATTGTTCTTTCATGTAACAAGTTTTGCTATTTCGGTTGACCGTATGTTGTGCCCTTAAACGCACAATGGTCTTAAGTGCACAGAAATCGTGAA